TGGAGGGTACGCGGCCATGTTGAAGCCGTCACCAATTCTTGTAGGTTCAGATGTTGGTGGTGCAAGTAATGAACGAACTATCTCGGTGGTGCAAAAGGGTTTTTGACAAGGGCTCGTCTCGTGAGAAGCGTGTGGCCATTTACATTTGCAGTCATTTCAATGGAAGGAGGGCTTTCATGTGGCGTCTGTCGTGGAGAATCGATCGATTCGGTGCGTTGTATCGACCACACGAAACGAAAGACCAGGCATGCGATTGACCTCCGTACCCGCCACCTACTGAGAAAACGATGCTCTTCGGATCACATACATGACGGATGCAGTCGTGTCTCTTTCGCGTACTCGTTTCTCCTGCATCCCGGTTCGTGTAAAACCATTGCGGGAGTACGAGCACACTTCAACACGACGTTGGTCCTGAGCGCTACAGGTGGTCTACATGCAAGATGATCGGAGTGCATGGCAAACCCCAAGCGGACGACATCTCGAGCACCAGCCCATCCGAGAGGATGGCATTTGAGCCAGGCCACGCGATTGTCGGGCCATTGTCAACATCTTTTTGTCTACTTCGACGTCATATTCGACAGCAGACGTCACCTGACGATTGCGACTGGATCGACCATCGAACGTGGCAGTATCATCGCAGCCACACGGTCTGGTTTCTCCATCCGTCTCTACTTGTCTTCAAAATCTTGGATCCTTTCTCGGAATGTGCTTGGTTTCCAGCCCGTCCGGATCGGATATTGCAGTCCACTGTCACTGCCTTGGGTCATCTTTCACGCTTCGCTTCCCAATTTGCGCCTTCAGGCAGCAACGGCCAAGCGACGAAGACCACCAAAGAGCCGGGCGACCGGCCCCTTTATTCTGAGTGGGAAGTCCCCTATCGTGGGGCCCAGATCAAAGAGGGGAGGCCTTGTTGCTGCTGCGTGCGCTACGGGAGGCAGCGCAGCGTGAAAACCGAAAGGGAGGCAACAACCCAGACACCTCGAGGTGAGGGGTACGGCAACAGCGGTTGTCACCCCCTCCCACCTAGTACCTACTATTCTACTTCAGCCTTCGAGTTGTCGGCCCGTCGCCGAGCTTGACTCCCGAGCCCCCACGAAGCGAACTTGCCTAGAACGTGATCAAGATCGGCCCAGTCCAGGTGCGTCAGCGGCCCATCGGGTGTGATCGGTCTGATCCCCGGCATTCCTGCGACTTCAGCGCCCTGACTGCATCCCGGACTGGATATCCGATTCCACGTGCCCTCTGCAAAGTGTTCTCCATGATGACCGCAGAGCCGAGCCAAGCAGACTAAGCCAGCGATGATGTAGTTCAGGCAGCAGCATACCGATGTCGTATAGGGCATAGCACTTGATCGACGTTCAGGATGTACTACTAAATTTCACGCTTCGACTTCAAGGTCAGGCAGCAAGACAATGGGGAAGACCAGGCAAGCAGAAAGGTCACTCGACGAGTAACTCGTGGATCGCACTTGCCGCCTCTGCTCTTTGCAATCGACTCAGTCTTTAATTTACCAGCTATCCCGCGTGAAGCCCTCGCTGTTCCGACGAAACCTTCTACGATTTGTAGCATTTACAGCTTAGCATCACGCGAAGGGACTCAGCTGCGCTTTGTCGAAGACAGATTGCCCATAAGGACGACAACAAGGATGCTAATAGTACTGAGAATGGTATTCGTACGACTCCAAGTCTCAACCATCCGTGAAAAAGTGCTTCGGCGGATCCACTGTGAGCATGGTCAGAGATGACCGATTGTTATCGCATGGAATGTACGAAACTGTAAAGAAGGTGAGCATGACAATACGAACCTGCCAGTGGAGGTCGCCTCAGCGCAGTCTTGGTAACCTCAAGTTCACCTGCACGGAGCTTGGCTACTCTTATCAGTAGAGCTGCTACGACAGGGCGCGAATATGTAAATTCGAAGGACGTTAATCCGTCTCGTGGATAACCAGCAGCGACGAGATATGGCTATTGTCGTGCTGTGGAAGCGGTGAACGCAACGGGTAGCACTGATCGAAAGTGCATTCTGCAAGCACGCCAGCTGCAAGCAATCATGTGAGAAGTGATGCAAGTGAGTATATCTTTTTTGCGGTCTTGCACCAGCATCAATCTTCTGACAGAAAAACAGCGGATGTGTGAAGCATGGATGCAGGCCACGGCCAAGCTGGGATTGGGAAGACGTACTCTATGGCGTGCCGAGCTACTTGAGCAAAGTATCCACGTTGTGTTTATAAAACGATGTTGGACATCGCGCAATTTCTCACCCTCACTGTCTACAACTCTTGGCGTGAGATTTCGCTCTACGACGTTACACTGCACACTACAGAGTCGGAAGAGTCTCCAAGAAAAAAACTGCAGGAATGATCACGTGTAGCAGCACCAGCAACCCGCAGCTATCCATGAATCGAATTTGCAGCAACGACATTCGTTACTTGTTATGGTACCGACCATGCAGTTGACCTCTCGAAGCTCTGCTTTATATCTTGCGCGACTCTGAAGAAAAGAAGATCCTGAAAAGAGGACGGCGTGTCGACCACATGTCAGCGAGACCTGAGTAAGGACGTTGCAATCAGGATTTCATACCGCCAGACAACAACGAAAAACGACGAACGTGTCTGACAAGCAAGCGGTGAACAGCTTCAAAAGCGCAATGCCTAGCCAATTGATTGAGTTGTACATGCTAGAGATGATGCGCTCTGTTCCCTCGAGTCGCAAATGAATCCCACTATCGCCAAGCTCTCGACTTACACAACAGCAAACGAGGATGAACGCTCTTGATCACAGGCTAAACCCGCGTGTATTTGCCAAGCACTCCTCAACTTCCAACGACCGTTTTCAGCCACCTCCTTCATCCTCCTCTTTTCGTTCGAGGTGCATGGCACAAGTAGGTGGACGTATGAAAAATGCCGTCGGATGTTTTGCAATTGACATGGAAGCAAGCTGGTCCGAATTCACAGAGACGAGCGCGACGCAATCAGCGTCAACGCAGCTGCTCTTGGAATGCGCAGTGACTGCTGCAGATTGGTGAGGCATTGCTCGTGCAAGTAGTCGCGCAGCAGCCCTTTCAGCGAGCGACAGGCAAACTGGTAGAGCTTCTGATGGCTCTCGGGTTGCGTCACGAGCTGCGAGGTCGACACATGGAACTCGTGGAGGCACAAGTTGAGCCACAGCTGGTCGTCACTGCCCAAGCGGTACCACGAGTGGCACACGCTTCGTGCCGCGCAGAGCGATGGTCCATCTAGGAAGCTCAAGATCGCGTGAACCGTCTCGTCACACGTAAAGTCCACGAGACTCCGCCGCTCTTTCGAGGTAAACGAAGCGGACAAAAGAGCGCACAGCCACTTGGCTATAGCATGATCTTCAGGTGAGGATTGCGCGCTACTCAGAGGGGCGTGAAGGGGATGCAGAATCAGTGCACGAGAAGAAGAGCGACTCATTAGATCGATGGATGAACCGTTTCGCGAATGTCGAAGTTGCGCGAGCTGCAAAGAAAACCGTATTTCACGAAAATCGGTATCGATATATACCGGTTTGAGTGCAAAGAAAACCGTGATTCATGAAAATCGGTGTCGATGAATACCGGTTTGAAAAGATGTATACATCGAAACGACTCGTATACACCACCATCCACACTCGCCCCTGCTCTCTCGTGAGCTTTTGAACTCCAGTCGTGAGTAGGGTGCACATCGATCGAATCAACGGGACGGATGTCGTCGCCTACATCCACAGCTTCGACCGTATCCCCCACTCAAGACGAGACACTGGGGATGTGCTTGAAGACGAGGCAATCCACGTCTACTCCGGTCGGAAGTGCTGCTTCTACTGGTGGTCGCAAACGAAAGAAGGGGACGACCAGTACGCCGCCACCAAGCAGCCGCAATAGCAGTACCACTACGCCAGTCTCGAGTAAAAAAAAGAGGACGCGAGGGTCGATCGGTACTCCGGGGAAAGTGACGCCATTGGCTCAAGTGCGGGAGAAGGAGATCCACCGGACGTTTACGGATCATGAAGTTTCGGAGGTTTACAAGACCATCCGCAAGCAGACAGGAAGTCTTGGAGGCAATGCAGCAGGTGGCGCCATTTATGGTGAAATCACGCAGGCCTCTTTCCAACGGGTGGTGGACTACCTCAAGGACCATTGTGAACTCTCTGAAGCCAGCTGCTTTGTGGACGTGGGCTCGGGACTTGGCAAACCAAACTTCCACGTGTCCGTGGATCCAGGTGTTCAGGTCTCGTACGGCATCGAGCTTGAAGAATTACGCTGGCACTTGTCGTTGCATAATCTTCGCAGCGTGTTATCACTTGACTCGCAGCGTCACAAGCCCCTTTCAACAGTATTCACGGCGGGGGACATTACGCACGCACATACGTTTGAGCCGTTTTCACACGTGTATACTTTTGACGTGGGATTTCCACCGGACGTGATGGACAAGATGGCCGAGATGTTCAACCGGAGCTCGGCGAAATACTTTGTCAGCTTCCATTCACCGCGGAAAGTTGTCGAGACGTACGGGTTCTCGGTGACGAACATTGGACGAGTTGCAACGTCGATGGCAGGTTCGAGTGAGGGGCACCAATGCTACTTTTATCGGCGCGTGGCGGTGATAGAGGAAGAAAGTGAGTTCGAGAGGGAGGAAGTGACTGTGGAGATGGCGCCACTGAACGACTGTGTAATTTGTCCACCGCTGGCTGAAGACCCTCTCTTCAGCAAAGGGATCGAGCTGCTGAAGACCGGCCGCGAAGGCATGCTATCGTGGATCAACGACTTTTTCGACCAGGCGAATGCTGGACGAACTCGTCACCAGAAGCGCATATTGCGCGAGCGCCCGATGGACTCGTACTATCCCACCGTCAAGTCGCACGTTGTTGCAGCTTCTTGCAGCGTACCGCAGAAAGGGGAGAAACGAACGACGAAGGCGACGAAGCGCAAGATCAATCTCCGTGCGTAAGCTGTCGTGTCGTTTTCTGCTGTATTGGGCGGCATGAACTGCTGGTGTCGTGTAACTACTGCCTGCTTCGAGGATTGCAGTACAACAAGCACAGTGTTAGCTGTTTGTCACATCCAGGGGGACAATGAACTCAATAGACATCCAACGTTGTGTGCACGCTCTACAAGCTTCCAAGTGTTTCGTCCCTACAGCTTTTTGCATTCATCCCCGACATTTGCCTGCCCGTCGTCCGCTCGACTCGTCCGAACCGATTCAACAAAAAGCTGTTTCTGTAGCGGCGTGAAGACGTCGCCGCCCGCATGAATACACGAGATTAAATAAGTCACATCCTTGCTCTCAAAGCGTTCTTCCTGACGGAAGGTGTCCAGTTCGTCACCGAACGCCGTGGAGAACTCCTCCATATACAACTGGCGGAACTCGTTCTCCACGACCCCCGCCACGTCTCCGTCTAAACGCGCGTCACTACTGGCCAAATGCTTCTGCAAATGGCACGCTGCCGACGCCAATAGGTCCTGACTAGCACGAGCAGTCTTCCGTACAACACCCAGCCGAGCAGCCTGACTAGCTGCATCCGCTGCCGCATCACCCGCAGCCACAAGGTCCTGCAGCAACAACGTCGTCGCCTCCGTTCCCTCCTCGTCGCTGTCCATCGCCTCGTCCTCGTCGCTTCCATCTCCTTCTTGGCTGCACTCGTACGCGCGCTTCATCGTCTTCTGCAGCTTCTCCAGCGTCTCGTTCGTCTCCAAACTCTTGGCAATGAGCTCGGCACAGCGCACACTCGTGGCCGTCGCCGTCACGAGCAGCTGCCGTCGCTGCTCGTCACTCGTTGCTGCCCCGTCAACCGCTGCTGAAAACGCCTCGTCCACTCGAGCATACACGCCACCATCAGACCCGAGCGCCGCGATCAGACGGTCGTACCGCGCTGCCAGTCGAGCCCCTCGTTTGCCGTCATCGTCCATGATCTCGTTCCACAAAAGATGGCTGGTCCGTAGTCGTCCACTGTCACTCGAACGAGGGCCAACACACCATCCGTCCGACCAACACGCAGACCCGTCGTTTCTATCGCTCGTCGTACAACTTCGCCTCGCATTTCTAACCCGTCGCTCCAACCGCTCTCTCGGTCGCCAGCATGACGTCCGCGCCGCGCTGGACGTGGCTCGACGCCTCTCGCCTCGCGTCCACGCCGAACCCGTACGCCGTCGGCGGCGTTGCGGCGCTCATTGTCGTGGCTCTTGTGCTGGGCGTGCTCTTTGTCTGGGTCGCGTCCCGTCAAGTGCGACCACGGAAGAAGACACTGCCGCCGGCCAGCACCAGGACGTTCGAAACGCTCCGACCGCCGCCGTCGCCCACGTCCAAGCGCCTGCGACACGCGTCCAGACAGCACTCGAAATCGTTCTCCGATCTGATCCAAGTCGAGCGCGAGCGGCTGCAGGAGATCCGCCAGCTGGAACTGGACGACCACATGACGTTCCCGCCGCAATTGCGGCAGAGCTGCGGCCCTGAGACGCTCAAGAGCATTTACGAGACACTGTCCAAGGTGTTTTCGTTTCTAAGAGGGGAGTTCGTCGCTCCGTTGGCTCGGGAGCTCTGTATCGTGCGCTTCGCCAAGCACGAGTCGATCTTCCGGCCACAGGAGCTCGATGGCTCGATTCTGCTCATTGTTAATGGCTCTGCAACGCTGACGATCCATGAAGAAGAAGAAGAAGAAGAGAGGGGAGAGACGGGGTTCTCCAAGGTGCTGGGACGAGGGGAGACGCTCACGTCGTCGCTGCAGTTGCTGACTGTGTTGGTGAACGAGTTGCAGCACGGTGAGTGCCAAACACAAGTGCAGAAAGTGTGTGGAAGGCTGTCTGCACGTGCGGGCGAGCACGGGACGAGGCTGGTGAAGATCCCGCCATATGCGATCAAGCAGGTGCTGGACACGTACCCGGAAGCGTTCTATCGACTGGCGCAAGCAGCGCTGAGTCAAGTGGAAAAGATCACGGCCAAGTCGTTGATTGATCACTTTGGCTTGGCGTCGAAAATTATCCATGCGACGCCGCTCGTGCAGGTGCTGCCTCTTGTGGTGGATGGAAAAGATGAGGTGGTCATTGACACGATTGTACATGACGTTGCTGACGCAATCGGGTTGATGGATCTGGAGCTGCGAGCAACGCTCGCTAGCAGCGTGCAAGTGATTAGGCGTTTGAAGGACGAGATGATCCGGGAAGCTGGGGATTCGTCGAGTGCGCTGGGCGTGCATATTGTATTGGATGGAGCAGTTAGTGTGCAAGTGGCAACAGCCCCGAAGACGTTCGTGGAGCTGTACAAGGCTACGAGAGGGAGTGAAATCGGTATTTCCACGTGCTTTGTTGGCTCGCATTTCGTTGCGACTCGCAATGTGTGTCTTGAAGACACCACGTTGCTGTGCATTCCCGACGCACTATTCTGTAGTCTACTGCAGATCAACTCGGTTGCGGTCAAATGCACGCGCCATCTGATTGAGCAGTACTCTGGCCTCGTGTGTGTTGCCGACACATCATTCGAATGGCTGCATCTTCACAGCGGTGAGAGTTTGTTTGATCGTGGAGACGTGTGCGATTCGGTGTTTACAGTCATCAGCGGTCGCCTTCGTGCCGTGCAGACGCTATCTCATCGTGGCAAAGAGTTGGAGACGACGAATGATCTTGTTCGCGGCGCTACTCTTGGAGCGATGGATATGCTTTCGGCTGGACCTAGCAATTCTTCAGTGTTTGCAGTCCGTGATTCGCAAATCTCGCAGATGTCTCGTAACGTGTTCGATTATGTTGTGAGCAAGTACCCTTCCGTCTTAATTCACTTCACGAAGAACTTGGCGCGTCGTATGCCAACTCCTCGAGTGAATTCCCGTAAGGCTGATGCCAGTAGCGTCAAGACCCGCAGTAACTATCTGCTTTCGCTTGGATCGGGTCCCTCCTCCACGGGCGGACAAAAGATGGGCAGCAATTTGCCAATTAGTACCATTGCCGTCCTCTCTTTGACGAAGATGACGAAGATTCAGACCTTTTGCTCGCATTTGGAAATGTCACTGAAAACTATAGCCTCGGTGGAAACAGTGTCTTCACAAAAAGCCAAAGCTTTTCTGGGCGACCAATGGATTGATAATTCCCGCGTTGCACGTGCAAATCTCGTAGCCTGGATGGGTGACATTGAGAGCTCAAATGAACTGGTCATTTACGAAGCTGACCCTCAGTTGACAGCTTGGACGAAGCTCTGTATCCGCCAGGCAGACCATATCTTGCTGCTCTGCTCCGATGCACACCCACAGCAGGCGTTTGTGAGTGACATGGTGTTGATTTTAGAGGGTGCGTGGGACAGACGAGATGCCAAGATAAACGTTGTTCGTATTCGTGAAAAGGACTGGACGCTGGCGGCATTGAAAGCGGCTGCTATACAAGAGGCTAATGGATCTTCGCGTTCCTACGCGTTGAAACGAAAACTGTGTTTGCAGATGGACAGTCCACTACTGCCGCGCTTCATTCTTCCTATGGAGAAGTACGAGTGGATCTGCGGTTACCATAATGTACAAATTCCGTTTGAGGAGCATTCCTCGGACTTTATGCGTCTGAGTCGTCGAATTACTGGAAATGCTGTTGGCATAGTGCTTGGTGGTGGCGGCGCGCGAGGCCTTGCACACATAGGCGTGCTTCGGGCGCTCGAAGAGTGCGGTATCCATGTAGATGTGGTTGGCGGTACCAGCATCGGCGCGTTCATTGGCGGCATCTTTGCGCTCCACCCAAACAATTTAAGCTTGGTTGAGGTTAAGGTACGGCAGCTATCAGCTGGATTGAGCAGCATCTTCGAGAAGCTGTGCGACCTCACTCTTCCGATCTCGTCCTTTTTTAATGGCACGCGTTTCAACAGAAGTATCCGAGCGCACTTTTATGACCTCTCGATCGAGGATTTGATGCTGAATTACTTTTGCGTGTCCACGGATATCGCGAAATCACGTATGAGTGTACACCGCAGCGGCCCGGTGTGGAAATACGTGCGCGCATCGATGAGTTTACAAGGCTACTTTCCTCCGATTTCGGAGAATGGCTCCTTGCTTTTGGACGGCGGGTATATGAACAACCTTCCTGCCGACGTCATGAAAGAGGAAGGCGGTATCAAGTACATTTTCGCAGTGGACGTGGCCAGTGAAACCCGCACTCTGTTTTATGAATACGGCAGTGCGCTGTCAGGATGGTGGCTGCTGTGGAATAAGCTAAACCCATTTGCAGGAACTGTGGTCGTGCCTTCCATGGGCGACATATCAGCAGCGTTGGCTTACGTTTCATCGGAACAACATAAGGAACGTGTCAAGGAGGAATGCATTGATCTCTATTTACGTCCACCGGTCAAGGATTACGGCACTTTGGAGTTTAACAAGATGGAAGAGATTATTGAAGTTGGCTACAAGTACGCGCTGCCCCGAATACAAGCATGGACAGCTCGGGTGCTGGACGCTGAGCCTGATGCCGACATTAAGCGAACGAAGCAAGCGGCGACGCCATCATCGACCTTGTCGAAGCTGAGCTACGCTACGTGAGACGTATATACCATTGTGGTAACACACGGAGAGAACAGCACGGCTGGTGCTCGATACGCCATGGCGTCAAGTCTATCGAGTCTTGCTTGCGAATACGACATGTCTGTTGAGATGCACGATCGAACAGTGAGCGATCTGGCCATGGTATGCGTGCCGTCAGCCTTGCTGTTGGATGCAAGTAAATTGTGCAAACCGTGCCGACCGCACCCGCACGCGCACAAGTCTGTGCTGCTGAGAGACTCTCGCTAACAGCAATAAGCTCACATCTGCTCGTGCCAGCCGTCGTATCCGAGCTACGTGAGGCCTTGAAGCAGCTCCGTTCTCGCATATTGTATGGTCCCTCTCACGACAAATCGCTGGCCAGATCCTCATGATCACACACCCACCCCTTCGAGTCGTTTGCTGGCGGTAGCGCCATCTCTTGCTGCTGCATACGCCTGGACCGTGTAAAGTTCTTTCCTGACTCGGCAACTCCGTGATGGAACCTGCGAAGTCACCGCATGTCACTTTCGCTGACATTTTCGTCCTTCGGGTACTTAGAGTGAGATTCGTCGCTTTTGACGTGCATCGCTGATACGATACACTATGACGCAGGCGGCTACCACGCATGCTCTTCACTGCAGTCGTCAATCACTTGGTGAAGCTTGAATCGTCCTTGCAGCCCGTTCCAGTGATTCTACTGGCAGAAGATCTCGATCAACCAGTTGTCTTGTCGTCCTTTGTGAACGTCGATGATTTTTTCTCGTGACGCATTGCTTATGCGATTGCCGTGTGGAGGAGCTAGCTGGAGTTTCCGGATGATGGCTCGTCAACATTTGCTGTCATCTACGAGGACCAGCAGGGCTTTCTGGATCTACAACGGTGGTATCTCTATGGAGCTGTTAGTACCAACAGGTACTTATTTACTGGGCAGGACTATTGCGATCATGTGAGAGCTTCGATCGAAAACGATCGATTGCCCAGACTTTCTTCCAGGTCTTGTTACACGAGCGTGATCATGTGCATGCACACTACTGTTCAGGGAAACAATGCAAGCTCGCTTGTAAAAGAGGTGCTGCCTTAAAACAGCTTCCAGGGCGAGCAGCGAACACCTGGGCATGAAATGCTATAGTATATTGCCGGACGCCCGAGTACGTAAGTTGAAGCACGGACTCTACCAAAAGAGACACGTACGAGAGGATGCGGTGGTATCCAAGTACAGCTGAATCTGCTACAGAGGACTTGGGTTGACATCCGACGGTAAAGTGCGTGATTTCATCAGAGCAGATCAAACCAAGACCACCAACAGAGAACAACTCCGGCTTCATACGACGGCAGACAGAGATCGCGCATGTGAGCGCCAACACTTGCAGCATACACACAACATGGGAAAAGAAGCAGAATTGGCTGATGTAGCAATGATGTAGCTCC